ACACACACACACACACACACACACACAGATGCTACATTAAAAGAGCCAGTTTGGTGTAACGGGTAAGTCATTAGACTAAGAAAGCAGGAGAGGCTTTGCTTTTAAGTGGGGAAGCCAATGAGAAGCCATTCCCTCTTCCTCAGTCCCAGGAAGGAAGGAAGGAAGGAAGGAAGGAAGGAAGGAAGGAGGGGCAAAGCACTGCTGGAAAAACCTTGCCACAAAAACTGCAAGGACTAATCCAGGCAATTGCCCTGAGTCAACGTTGACTCAGACCCCAGAAAAGAGATGCTAGATGAGGAGAAGTGATGGTGACGGTGTTGGCTCTATGTCCTTTTCCCAGCATCCCCTTCGCCAGCCAAGCAGCGAGCTAAAATGGATGATATTGTGGTGGTGGCCCAAGGGACTCAGGCGTCACGGAACGTCAGCAGTGACCCAGATGTCATAAAACTGCAGGAAATCCCCACTTTCCAACCTCTGTTGAAAGGTAAGACTATCCAACGCTCGTGCAACTTTGATAATAGTTTCCCCTTCCCCAACGTTGTTGATTCCTGGTGTTTTGTGACATTCCTGCCTTTCCTCGTAGCCTCCTTTCTTTTGGGCTGTTTTGAAAGCAGTAAAAGGAAATGAGCAAAACCAGTAATGGTCTCTCCTCTTCCTCATACAGTCCTTTAAGTATTTTGTAACTGAAGTTATAATACTATTAGCTTTTAAGACTTTTGTTCAACAAAACAAAAATTATTATGGAATTATTTTTGAAAAATTGCTATCAGATTTGGTTACATTACTGAAAGGTGTAATTCTAGTTTTGCACGGGTTTTTTTTTTTTTGTAGAGTCTGGCTACCATGTTAAAGTTCAAGGTAAAGTTTTTAAAAACACAGGAAAACTATATTTCCACCAAACCGCCCAAAGTGGCTGTATCAGCGAGATAGGCAGCACAGAAATTTAATAAATAAATACATTTAATAAATGTCCTTCTGGGGCAAGGATGCATAAGACAGTTTTTCCAGATGCCTTGTTAATGTGTATTTTTCTAAGCTCATTGCCAGCTTTGTTTTTCATGCTGCTGCTATTACAAATCAAGTTAAAATTTAAATTCAGAGTGGCCCTGCTTATACTTTATGCTTTTGAATAAAGACAATTGCTTGATAAGCTGGTGTAGAAAAGTTTGAAAACATATTTTGGGGGGGGGGGCTTAAGTCTTTGGCAGAGATGGGTTGAACTGCCTAAAGATGGAAAGTGGAGGCAGGGAACAATTCTCAGCTGCTTTTGGTTGTGCTGCTTTTTAAGCACATGATGCTTTACATGTAGCACCTAGTGCAGGGGTCTTCAAACTTGGTCCTTTTATGACCTGTGGACTTCAACTCCCAGAATTCCTCAGCCAGGCACACGTGCCTGGCTGAGGAATTCTGGGAGTTGAAGTCCACAAGTCATAAAAGGGCCAAGTTTGAAAACCCCTGACCTAGTGCCACTCTTCAAATGTTACTTTCTCTGGGAATATGTTATAGCTGCATCATACCAGGAAAAGTTGCAGATCATTAAAGGGCAGAAGGCTGATGCTATGTGAAGGATCCCTCATTTATATCCAAAAGGCCATGTTTCCCATTGTTATGCTGGTGAGGTATAGCTGGGAGTTGATGTTCACAAGCTATGAATCAGAGCTTCTTTGCCCAGACATGATCTACATTGAATAGGAGGCTCCTGATCTCTAGACTGAAAAGGGAACTTGAAAAAGCAGGAGGAAAAAATCTAAAATTAAAACATCAAATGAAAGAGAGCAAGATTTTCGTTTGAGTTCTGTGTTCAGCGGTAGGCACACATTCTGCCAGTGTGTGACTGCTGCTTGTCTGCAATGAGGTGTCTGTCTTAGCTGAACCACGTCAGTGAAACTTCTGCTGCAAGCACATACAAGGTTGACTGTGAAGTTGACATTTAATGGTGTCCCTGCTGATAAGGAAAGGGCTACAGACGCCCAGCTAATGAAATAGGAAACCTGAATATTGGCTTGAAATAACAAGCCAGGCATTTAACACAGAGTATTCATGTATCTTATCAAATTTATATGGCTTTTTCAACAACCTGACATCAATATCAAGGAATACGTTTCTGGAAGTCTGGTGAACTCCTTTTCTTATTCTAGGTTGATCCATGCTTGGTGAATTCTATGCCTCATTCCACGCAGTTGTCAGGTTGAGTGTCTGGGTACATGTGTTTGATTGTAAAAAGTGGAATGTTGTGTTGGAGGCAAATATCCGATCTGTAGCAAATGATGCAGGCAAGGTTAGCTGTTTATCTCCTAGGCACAGGTCTTGACTTTCCAGAGCTGCTGCTGGTTTTAGTATTTCTCAAATGTTTCCATTGCTGCTGCAGAAGCTCAAGAAGCTGATTTGAAGCAGAAAATGGCTCAACATTACCCTCACCTCGTGGTGTTCCATCCACCCTGATTATTATTTTAGATCAGTGTTTCTCAACCTTGACAATTTTAAGGCATGTGGACTTCAACTCCCAGAATTCCACAGCCAGCAATGCTGGCTGTGGAATTCTGGGAGTTGAAGTCCACATGCCTTAAAATGGTCAAGGTTGAGAAACACTGTTTTAGATCATAGAAAACTTCATTTTTGAGCAACATTTTAGTACTGTATTGTGAGTGTCAGAAGTAATTGGAGGCTCCAAATACTGTTTAACATCTTAAAAGGGATGTGTTTGCCTCCTGGGGTACCATTCTTGTATTACTGATTTTTCTTTTTAATAAACAAGTGTTTGCCAACTTTGGTAAAATGTTTTTGACAAATTTTGCAAAATATTTTGTTCATAAAAATTAATGGTAAATCCAACAGGTGGTGCTGTTTCCCGCCTCTCTGGTGCATGGCAGTTCTATTGGAGAACTTCCCCCCCCCCCAAAAAGCACTAATGTTTAAAGCAGTGTTTCTCAACCTTGACAATTTTAAGGCATGTGGACTTCAACTCCCAGAATTCCACAGCCAGCATTGCTGGCTGTGGAATTCTGGGAGTTGAAGTCCACATGCCTTAAAATTGTCAAGGTTGAGAAACACTGCTTTAAAGCAATCAGAAGCATTTGCCAAAGGCCTGGAAAAGATCCTCAGAGGCCACAGATGAATGGGAAGGAGCAAGATTTGTAATGTGTGTGTGTGGGTGTGTCTGTGTGTTGCATTCCCCTTAAGTCCAAGTGAAGAACTGGCCTGGTGCTCCTTTTAATGATGAGTGGAAACAAGGAAGACACCGTGGACCGGATTATTATTATATTTGACCATTTCTGAAGTTCAAAAAGATGTCAGAATGGTAAATGCTGTTCAGTTAAGCAAGTTGAACACGAGGCCCGTCGGCCCAGACACACAAAAACCCAAACTTCACATTCTATATTAATGGGTTGAGAACAATCAAGGCCTGATTAGGAAAAGAATCTTATCATCCTAGTGATGAGTCAATAAAATTATCAATCTAGCTAACATGTCAGAAAAAAGAAAAAAAAATGATCCCTGTAATCCTCATTTATAATATGTGTGGTTATTTTTTTTTTACAAACATTTCTTTGCATTTTGCTCAGTAAAGGAAATGAATGGGACCCCCCTCTTTACCTCTATTTTACCCCCTGTTCTGATCTCTTTGTAAAAGATTGAAATTATATTTGCTATTTTATAGACCTTAGGAATAAACATTGATGTTAAATTACAGTCTGGACCCAAGGTTTATTTGTTTTTGTTTTTATTAATCATGTATGTTTATAGTTTTGTCTCCATCCATCTCATTCTTGTCCTTTTAAAAGCCAGCTCCAGCACGATGATCTGTTTGACATCCCCAGCAATGTAGGGAATGAAGTTCTGCTCTTGTTTTTTTCAGGCTAGACCAGGCAACGCAAATTACTTCAAGTCGTGCAAGGTTGGGAGGTAGTTTGATAGGAGGAAGTGGAATTTTGGCACAGAGAGAGTGCAAGTATAAATCCAGAGCAGAACAGTCAAAAGAATCTTGAGTTCTGTTTAAGGCAGTGTTTCTCAACCATGGCAACATTAAAATGTGTGGGCTTCAGCGGAATTCTGGGAATTGAAGTCCTCACATCTTAAAGTTGCCAAGATCGAGAAACACTGGTTCAAGGGAACAGGGTCCCAGAATAGCAAGAGGTCAGACTCAAAGGCAATTCCACACAAGGAGATCAAAAAAATTCTTTTATTTTGAGACTTGAAGTCGGGATAAATTGCAATAGGGTTTCCCAACCTGGGCAACATTAAGATACAGTATGTAGACTTCACCTCCCATAATCCCACAACTAGCTTGCACATTGCTAATTTTTCTGGGAACTGAATCCCACTCCTTTCAATTTTTATCAGGTTGAGAAACACCGAGTTAGAAGAAAGGAATCAGATTGTGGAGAGTCGATCAAAATATACTAAAGACTCCTTGTTACTAATCGATTAACGCTGATGTATTGATGTAAAAACTATGCTTTTGGGAAGAAAGTGCTGACCACAGGCATCACAGGGGATGTTCTGCAGGTATGCAGTTTTTTGAGATCGGATGTCTGAGGTGCTAACCTGAAGATCAAGTAGGAGTTTCCATGGGACCCTGAAAATCACTTGTAATGGAGCGTTCTGCTTTTATGTTCCATGTTATGTTGTATTTCGATTGACTCTCCACGGGCAGTCTCTTCCGTGAAAGCAAGCGATCCAGTGAGATTGTGCTTGCCTCAATTGGATTATTGCCTCTCCTGCTTTCCCCATAACTATATTCCCGATTACAGTATTTAGAAAGTGGCACAGTGTTAACCTGGACAGAGCCAATTTTGAGAGAAGGTGACTTTTAACAAATTAGTGTGCTGAGGTTCTTGTTAGTCGTTAATTTGTGGTGACGTTTTCTCTCCCTGGGTTGTCATTGTGCCAGTTTCCAAAAAAAAATCTGGACAACCATTTAAATTTGCAAAATAATTGGGGGGCGGGTGTCACATTTTTTGGGTTGTGCTTCTTTGGCCTTGCTATCTTCTTGTGACTGTCATTGGGGAAAAGAGATCTCAGGATTCAGGTTGCACAGGATTTTGGCCTTTCTATTTTTGCTTCAGGTTATTGTTTAACCATATTGTTACTCAGATTATTGGCGTTGTCATAAAGGGAATATCTTTTAAAAGCTTTTATAACATTTTTTTTTATGTGTGTGTGTGTGTGTAGCCACCAAAGATCACAAGGAAACAAGCAACTAGTGCAAACAGCAAAAGGCCGCCAATAACCTTGGGGCTTTGAAACTTTGCAAGTGTTTGTTAGAGTGAAATTCTCCTGTGTAATCACCAAATAAGAATGAGCTGAGGTCACTCTTGGCAAGAGCAGGCCTGTTTTTTTCCACACAAACAGCACAATATGATCAGTGGCGTCAAGTAGGGGGAAGGAGGACCTGAAGGGAAACTGGGCTTGAGTGAAGAGCAGTTTGTAACTATTATCTTTACCTATATATGAATGTGTGCGTGTGTGTATGGATATATATAT